TGCGCGTATCACAACACAGACCCCCCCCCCCCCCCGTTATACACCATGAGCACTAGACCTAGAGCCCTTTAGGGAAGTAGTGCTCAACCAAGGTGCTGTGAAATCCTTTTAAGGGTGCTGTGGGATACTGCACAACATTAGCCTTGTTAGTTATGCAAACATATATGTGAGGTTCTCCCAGTAGAGAGTTCAAATAAGAATTTATAGCGTCAAAAACCATTCAGATCCGCTTCAGTCTTTCTGAGTTCTTTGAAGAATTGCTGTATCATTTTTCTCCAGTCAAGAAAGCAAGTGAAAGCTAGGAGCTGGTATTTCCTGAGGGCTGCCTAGAGTGTAAAGAGGGGTACCCTGAGTCTTAAAAAAGTTGAGAACCAGTACTTTGGGGTTTGTATATACAATGGAGTCTCTTCCACGTAGCTTACTTATGTTAGTGCAGCACCCTAGTAAAGATATGCTTATGCTGACACAAAGGTTTTTCGGCTGATGTAGCTGCACCACCTCCCCAAACAATATGCACTAAGCTTTTAAAGGCCCCTTCTATTAGTAGGGTTTTGTCCATGCTTGGGTCAAGCCAGCATAGCTACACAGACTAAGGGAGTATGATATATTTACATCGCAACCCACGCTGCTACTCTGGCAAAACTTCATATTGCAGACCAGACCCAGGTTTTCCGTCACAGTTAATAGTCGAGTCTTAATTCGGGAAGGTGTGTATGTCCCTGTGCAAATTTTAAGCAAATGAGGTGTCAAACCTCTAGATATTGATTCTGTTTTAGTGATTAGGATAATCTGTGGCATAAAGAGCTACTCAGTGGGCATATCTACGTGTGTGCTTTAATATGCAGCTTTATTTTACTGTGCATTAGAGCATCACGGCAAAAACCGTGCTAATACACAGTAAAATTAGGCTACTGTGCATTAAGCATCACAAAAAACATGCATTTTTGCTATTGTGCATTAGGGCAGCCTAATGAGCATTTAGTTAGTACCTCACGTTAGTAGTACTAAATTTAATGAGCAGTAGCAAAAGCGCATTAATGAACACATAGACACACCCACTGAGTCATGATGGCAAAAAGTCCTCCCACCCCCTTACCCACATGTCTTTTCTGTGACTTGTATTCATCCACCTGCAAAGTGAGTATATAACTAGGTTATAGTAATAGTTCTCTAACATTTGCCTAGTGCTGTGAGATCCTAGGGGAAAACATGCTGTGTAAATGTGTAAGTTCCCATTTACTATCAAGAGGATAATTACAGTAAGATGTGCACATTCTTTTACAAGAAAAATTCTATTTAGTTTAACTCTAATTTGGGGCCTTTGCCTAAACAAGGAAGAAACATTTTAGGATGCTGTTCAGGGTCTGCTGATGGACACCATTTTGAAAAGAGGTGGCAGGGCTTGTAAAATGCGTATTATTTTTCAATAGTGAAGTAACAGAGCTATTTTTCTTTCTAAAGTTACGATAGTGCAGCTCTCCATTTTAAAACTGTAATTATATTTTGCAATATTGCTTGCTGAAAAATACCTTCCCTTGGGCATCACTGTTTTTTGGTTGTTTCCTTTGGAGTGTCAGCTGCTTTCATATCCTCTAAAATGCCATCAAAAACTAGTTATTGAATAACTTATTCTCCAGCTGCAGTTTACTTTTATATATCACCGCAATATCACAACTATCCCTTTCTCCTTTTTTTTTTTTTACGTTAATTGCATCTTGGTGATAAATTAAGGGCATGATGTACATTTTGCTTCCTAACACTGTTTTTTCCTCTCTGTTCTTTCTCATCCATGTTTTCTTCACACAGTACTAGAGGGTGCTGTTGAGGAAGAGGCTGAGGATCCAGACTCTGCTAAGCATACTACACTAAGTGAGGAGAACAGCAAGCAAGAAGATAACCTTGTTGTGCAGCAGTCAGGGGAGGAAAATGAAGGTATGTGTTTAACTAGGATGGAGTGCCTCATTAATTTAAAGCTTCAGCCAGGCTTACAGAGAAGTTCTTCCCCACTCTCAGTCACTTATACATATGAATATAAAATATCTTAAACAGAAGCACAAGTGCATAAACAATCTCCCACCACTACAGGGCTTCAGAACTAGAGCTCTTTCTTGGCTCCTGCTAACTTGGCACCACTTTATTTATCTGTATAAAACACCTGTTTCTAATGCTCAAACTGTTTGTCTTCCAAAAACAGTATTCAGCAAAGGATTGAGTGCACAGGGGCAAACATGTCCCTTCATGTTCACCCCCATATTCTTATTTCCCATGTGTTCCCTTTTATACACCCCATTAAATCTTACGTTCCACTGTGTATCCATTGAATGAGTTGGGTTTTGAAAATACATAGTTTTAAAACATGCTGCTGTGGTATTTCTGAAGCAGATGATGACCAGCGTTAGAGATGAGTACTGTAAGTAGTTGGGCTGCAAGCTGTTTTAAGTATATCTGTGTGTAACAGGAATGTGGTTGCTGTGTAGCATGTGATAATGAAATGGGCCTGGTCTAAAGTTTTTGCCTGCACTCCCAATCCATCCCCCTGGCTGACAGTGGCTATGCCTGTAAAAACCATAGCCTAAAGGCAGTTATAGTAACAAAAAAGCCCTTTTGTTGGTAGAGATTATTTCACTAGGGGAACTGGTTTAAGCTGACTAGGCAAAAGGACTCCCGCATATTTGTAAATTTTGTACAATTTCAACTTGACACGATGCTCCGTGGGACTCCTACTCACCCCAGAGACTGGGTTCGTAAGAGCAAGTATTCATCAGCAGTGCTCCAGTCTGGTCATGGGATACTATATACTGTGCTATAACAAGAGGAAAATCTGATTTAAGCCCAGTCCTGATTTTGTATTGAAAATCAAACTCAGTGTGAAGGAGGCACCCTAAGAAAAATGGCAATTTGACCTATACATTCCAGAAGTCAGTAGCTGTTTCATTAATAAAGGATTCTGAACTGTTATGAACTACTTGACACCTCCTTACCATCAAATGGACTGGGTAGTGGGGGGAGGGGGTTGGGTATTGTTCCACCATGTACTGTATGCTATGGAGCAGGCTGTTAGCCCTCCAGTGGGGAGTCTCAACAACTGTTTGGTTTTGTTTTACAGTTCCAGAGAAGGAGCCTGAAAGCTTAAACAATCTCAAGTTATTGCCTAGTTTACCAAACAGTTTGGAAGGCACGGATTTATCCTCCGTTGACGCCATGATGTCAGCAGTCATGAGCGTGGGGAAGATTGCTGAAAATGGTGGGAACTCTCAGAACATCAAATCCCCATCGAAGTCTCCTGCACCACACCGGATTGGCAGGAGGAACCAGGTATAGAGTTGTGTGCATGCAGTGCAGGGGGTTAACTTGGTGGAGGGTACAGGCTTAATTTACATTTTCATGCTCATTTTGCTTTTCAAATAGTATCCGATGGCTGAAATACCTTGCCTGTCCCCATGTGGCCAGTAGCTTTTTAGAGAATAATTTAAAGACATCAGAGCTGGAGAAGACCATTTGTTAGTCCCTGACCCAATAAAGCTCTTAAGCACATGCCTAAAATTAGGGATGTGAGTTTTCCCATTGAATATCCATCTTCTTGAAGTTAAGCCTGAACTTAAATTTGCTTCTCAAGGACCTTAGTTTTTTGGGGTTTTTTGCCATTTTTCTTTATTTGTCTGTTAGGATTCTGTCTGGTTTGGCTTCAAGGAAGTCTGTTCCGAGTTGCTGACCTTTATTCCACCTGAT